GATTAGTTATTATGTGATTTTTCCATGAAAAAATTCATACACATTTTTTTCAAAACAAATTTCCCTGACACTTACAGGCAAAAATGAAATATCCAAATTTTATTTTTCTTGTATGACCTCAGATTAAGTCTCAACAAGTATTATTTAAAGGTCAACAATTTTTAAACCCATTATAAAATATTTGGGTTTCTGATTTAATAAGTTTCTAATGATTCTCCAAATTTATTCTTGAAACATTATATCTTTAATTAATATATATATATATATGTAACTTACATAAATGTTATATTGTTACATACACACAATAATTTTGATGAAGACAAGTTTATGCTCTTGTAAAAGACTCAGAGTCAAGTCTCAATTTGGAGAACGAAATTCATCAGTCTACTGCACGTTACACATACTCTGGACAATTTTTATATTTTTACATATTGTAGATTTAAATGTCCTCTTTTGAATACTACAATTTAATTTGGAAGATATATATATATTTTTTATAAGAAAATTATTAGCGCAGTACACTGATGAACTTCTTTCTCCAAATCGAGACATGTCTTTTATTGAATCAGTCTACTGCATGTTATGCCTGCTTCGGCCAATTTTCATATATATTCATAATTTAATTTGGTTGATATTTCTATATTTTTCACAAAAAAATTATTAGCCCAGGAAAACGAGACAATTGTCCTTTTATAGTTTTACCTGCGCCATTTTTGTTGATGGTAAGAAATGTTTGGGACATTAAATGTTAAAATTCAAGTGAATATGCCAAATACACGACTCTTTCGTAGTACATAAAAAAGCATAATGGTATCAAACCTCACTGTTCTACAACTAGTGATTTTGATGGAACGTGAATGTAACAAAATGGATGATCTTCCTGAATATGAGTTTTTTGTTTTCTCGATTTAAACTTACATACCGGATAAATAAGTCAAGTTGCGGATTATCATTTGGCACAAAGTTAGACAATATCGTCTAGCTTTTAGAAATGCTCTCGGTTTGGAATTTAATGTTATAAAAAAAAACTATTTAGATTTTGGGTTTAAATGATATTCTGTCATAGCCAAAAATGTATTTTGCTGTACATTATTTTTGACACAAAATACCTTGTCATTTCCCTGACACAACTACTGTTTCACAATTGCCTGCCAATTTTGGCATTTTTGAAATTTTAAATTCCCTGACATTTTCAGCACCCAAAAAATCAAAAGAAGCCTTCTTTCTAGGTGTGAAGGAGCTTTGCTTTATAAAATGAAAGGTGAGTATATAATTCAGGTTATAATATGCTTGATAAAACTGACTTGTTTTTACTTTGTTAGGGACTTTGCAGATTTTTGATTTAGATTTACTGATTTATTATATTTCATTCTTTTAAAAAACCTTGATCATCAACTGTTTAGGGAGTATAAAAAAATTAAAAAGTTTCTATAAACTACCCATTTTCATATGGTTTTCATCTTACATAGCAGTCATATCTACATACATTCTATTGAAGTATTTTGGTAACAGTTTTGTTCTTCATTTACACCTCAGTTATGAAACATTCATAAAGATTTAAAAAATAATTATTGAATAAATTAATTAATATGTCTCTTTTATAATTTGAAATCAAGTTTAATTATTTGTCAATTTATTTATTTTTATGTTCATCGTGGACTGCATTCCCTGTTTGAAACATCATTTTGAAATGATTTACTTTGAATTGTTTTTTTCCTCATTTTAATTAAAATATTTTTTCTAATCTTGTAATTTAATTGATACATTATATTAACTCAATTCATCTAAAATTATAAGTATTTATGTTAAAATAACATATATAAAATAAATATGACTTGACATAAAATGTCGATTGGCCGCCATTTTGAAAGGCGTGCCTTTCGAGTTGTTTCCTATCAGATGATTTCAAACTGATATTTTACCTAAATGATCGATAAATGTTCCTTGCGATGCCATGTTTCAGTTTGCTTTCGAGAAACTGTTGATGTCTCAGTCATATCCAATTTTGAGAGTGATACATTCGAATATCTTCCATGTTCCAAGCTCCATTTTAAAATAATAAATTTTGCATTTTCGTAACATGATTATAATAATTTTCTAGATGAATCTAAGAAAGATTATTGATAAATGCACTCTAAAAATATATCAAGTTCATTAACCCTGAATGTTGTTCTGTACTCATCTGACTCTTTTATAACTAACTCATCAAGTACGATGGCCCATAATATAAATAATAGGTGAAATAAGAAAATAACATTTACGGTACAGGCAGTTCTGTATACTTTGCCGAGATAACAAAATAATTCAGAATACACACAGGCAAAACAAACATTATTCTTTCTGCATTAAGTCAGTGGGATTTATAACAACCTTAAGATGACTTGTATGGCGTTTGAGAATTTTGTGGTGGGCCGTCATTAACTTTATAGTATCTCAACAATATGATGTTTTATCAACACAATTGTTGCATCTATATGTTCTTCAAATTTTGAGAACCTATTATGCTTCGAAATGTGTAGCATTCTATGCAACTGCTACATCACAATTGCATTTGCCAAAATCATCTCTGGGTGGGTGGAGGTCTTTGTTCTATGTGTTTGGATCACTTAAGTGACTTGCAATATCAATACTAAGCATGGTAACACTACCTTTAATTACCTTTTATGGTAAGTCGTCAGGGCGACTTTAAAGTTGTCATTTGATACAAATGTGAATTGCAGTGCAGTGATGACATAATTCATCACATCATCTTTGACTTCAGTCACATATTGCCCCATCACCACCCAAACAAACATCGTTAACTTTTTGGCCAAGTTAACTTTTTTGAGATCTAGAAAATAATGAGTTTACTGTATTTTCTTACAGAAAATGAAAAAGTAATGGAAATAACTGAAAATATGGTCTTCTGATAGGCTAGTATTCAACTTTTTATTTCCAATCTTCTAAATTTTTATTGAAAAATTATTGAAATCCCTGAGAACTCATTTCTTGAAGTGGTTCCACACAACACATTTTTAAACCAGTCTGAAAATGACTAATTCTGATTAAATACATGTTATTCCAAATAACATATGACCTTTTTATTCCATAATAAAATTTGACATTATTCCATAATTATCCATAATTTTCCCTGGGAAATAAACAGAGAATAGAATTGATATTCAGAAAATCCCCGTACTAGATCACGTTTCAGCCAGAATCCCATATCAGATATCCAGGGATTTCTCTAGTTTTTTACATTTTTCATTCTATTTTAAATGTTCTTGACAAAAGTTGGAAATGTTATATGATGAATCAAATTGTATCATTGAATGTCACCATCATTTGGTGATGACAAATCGAACTTGAAAATGAATAAGTTTCAGAAATAATATTATGAAATAAATAGGTTATTGCATGGTTGCGATGGAATATGATTTTTTCCTCGAGAATGATATTGACCTCGGAAAATATCATATTGACACTTTGGCTCTCACCCTCGGTCAATATGGTTTTTCCCTTGGCCAATAACATATTTTCTCTCGGAATAAAATTCATATTCCATCCCTCTCATTAAATAGCCTCTATGTATTTTTCAAAGATATTTTCCAAGGATATTAAGGTCTAAAATCAAGTCAATTAATGGAAGGATATTTTGTAAAAAACTTGTATTGCTATCAATGAATAACAATATAACAATATCAGCTAAAATCTGAGTCACTGAAAGACAGAAAAGCAATGGTGATTGCAATAAATCGGAAATGGGGCAAGAGGGGTCGAACTGGAAATTATTGTGCACGGCATACTTAGATGTTCCTGTTAAATAAAAATAAAAATATGGCACATAGATTTAAAAAGGAGACCTAGTTTTTGTATTTTTTAAAATTTCTATAGTTTCATACATTGTAGAATATCATAAACCCTAAACTTATAATCTAGGTATATCTGTATACTCTTTGTTCAAAACTGAAGGATGCTGACCAAGTATAAAATAACACAAGACTCCAAATAAGAAGCCATAAAAATTTATGAACATACAGAACTACCTTAAGGATAGAATCAAAGTGAATGTAAATGATCATCATAGTATAGTACCATGTAAACTAAAACAATTACCGGATTATCTCGCATATACGCCCCCCTAAATTTAGGCCCATGGGCCAAAAATCGAATGTAGTACGCTTATACGCCCATGGGCCTATAAAAAATGATTATTTATTGATTTTTTTCAATAAATTCTAGAGTATTTTGTCACTGGCAGATAGTTCTAGCTGTCGTTACTTTGTTTCAACATTAAGTTCAACGCTGTGCCGTAAGTGGCAGTGGTGGATCGTTCTGTTGTTACTTTGTTTCAACATTAAGTCCAAGGTTGTAGGTGACATTTCCTTTATAATTCTTACAAAACATGCGGTAGGACTACAACAGTAGGCACGGTAGTCTTTGAGGAACCATTGTATTCATCAGCTCTTCTCACCTTTACGCCCACTGGGCCAAAAATCGAAAGTAGTACACTTATACGCCCATGGGTGAAAAATAAGAGGTAAAATAACAGACGAAATTACCCCTTCTTTCAGTTATACGCCCAGGGCTTATATGCGAGAAAATCCGGTACAGGCATATTCAGTACCCTCCATGATACATATGTATATTATTCACAAAAAGCATAATTTTTCAAATTTTATCAAACTATCTTTTATATTTTCAATTTACTTTAACTAAGAAAATTGTCTATTATAATTAACCAGCCATTACAATATAACTTCACCCCCCCCCCGTTCCTTGAACCAGGGCCTTGAACCTAGTCATTAAAATGTCTGAACTCTAGTGCTAACTTAATAGGATAAGTGATTGTCATAGTAGGGTACCATGCAAACAAAATCAAATACTGGTATACGTGTACCCTCCATTATATATATGTCATTTACATATTAAATTATAAATTTCCAAATTCTATATTTTCAATTTATGTTGACTCAAAAAAGTGTCTATTACAATTAAGAAGCTATTAGAATATAACTTACCCAGTTCCTCCACATTAATTCCTTGGTGTAACATTCCACCTTACCCTTGTTCAAAATGTACATATTGCGGCATGGTTCCTCGAAATTGTGTCAATCGCCATTTTGAAAATCTAAACACTTTCTGATCATCCGAATATTAATGATATCCAAAATAGGTTTGTGAAGTTTTTTGAGCAGTTACTACTCTCTATTTTGACCTAGATACGCAATTCCAAATATAATTACTTATGTTGTTTTCCAACGAATACATTCATATAGGTGTTATAGTTTGACCTTAAGTGCACTTATTCAAGGACACTGAATCAATGGGAATGAGGCCATTGACCGACTGATCTATTGAGCTGAAGGCTTGCATCATTATTACAGATTCCTGTTTTTGCTTTTTAACAACATTCAATTTTGAACCTTCCTCCTATAATAAAATGTTCCTTTGTTTTGCTACGAGTTACATAAACATTAAATACAGTAAAACCTGTATATTCAACCATCTCTTTAATCCAAACATCTTTCTATGTGAACACTTTTGCTGGTCCCAATTTTGTTGTATCCCATTGGTTCACATATTACGAAATCTCGAAATATAAACACCTGCTTATCCAAACACTTGGGCCGTCACAGTGGTGTTCATATTAATAAGTTATACTCCATAATAACAATGGTGACGAATGATGCTAATAGCATAGATTTTATTTAGGTCAACAAATTTTTTGTCAAAAACTCTACATGTGACAAGAACAAGAACAAAAAAATATACTGACCTAAAAATGATCGATTTGTAAATAAATGTGATAGGAAAAGGTTTTGTTTCATAAGCATGCAGAATGCGCATGTAACTTTCTAATACAGTGAAGGTCAATTGAAACTAAAAGGACGGTGGCCTATTTTGATCATATTTAGACTACAAATAAAAAACAAGACTTAAGGTAGAGACTTAAGGCAGAGAGATGTGAGACATTCTTATGTTTTGTGTTTTGATTTCTTTTAATAAAAGCATCGATTAGCTTAAAAATTGACTTTATGAGCTCAAAATATAAGTGATACGCATACCTTTGATGGCTTCTTGAGAAAAAAATATGGTGGATTTCAAACTCGCTACAGCACAACCTAAAACAAGGCTGTTATGGTGTTAGAATTTTTTGAGCAAACAATAGTGTCATAAAACAGGTAACAAGTAATAAACAAAACACTTAAAGAGATGCTAATGAGACTTCTCCATGGCATTTTTTCTTTATTCCTTTTTGTTTTGAATTTTTTACACCATAACATTAACTAACTACTCAATATGTAACTTTTCACCACATAGAATTTTAAAATATTAAGTTTGAAAATTCCATTTTTATAATGGACCTCAATGGGAAAACGCCATAATTTGAATTATTTTCAAATGTAGTGGCACGATTTTATTGAAATTGACAGATATAATCAATATAGATTGAAGGGGGTGATATTTATTTTTACTGCCTTTCACTACGACAGGGTAACCATAGTTTTGGTAATGGTTTACTAATTTTAAAAGCATATCTTCCAGCATGTGTATCAAGCACAAGTAATACAATAAGTGAGTTATCATTAAATGGAATGGTATTATTGTATTCCTTAGCAATGATGACAAAAAGGTAGAATCGATCATATCACATACTAGTTCTTACCATCAAATCGATCTATTATAATGCATATTAAATAATATAGTAGTAGATCTTCAAATTCGAGAATTGAGCTAAATTGTACGATAATAAATAAATTGCTCTTATGGGCTAATTCTACAATATGTACAGTAACATATATGTATGTAGTCCAGTATATAGTAAACAAAGGAGTATTTTGGTCAACTCAATACATCTGATAAATACTACATGAAGTGTTTTCTATGCAATGATTATATACAGGCACTTAATCATTGCTACTGTGAATTTCAAAAGCCTCCAAATTGTTTGGAATAGACCATGCAATGTTTTTCAGTTTCAAGCAGGTTTTAGTGCATTCTGACCAATTGTATTTTCAGACTTTTTCATTTCATTATTATATAATACTGACCTACTTATCTGTTTAGCATATCTTTAAAATGCTTTTTTACATTTGCTTTTCAACATTAATTTATTGGAAAATGTTACTAAAAAACAATTTCATGATGATAGTGACTTTTAATGTTGAACCAAACACAATGTTTTGTCTTTTAAAAAATAGTTTGTGAAATATGTCGGAGAAGTGCCTCAACTAGTCGACTTTGATTACAAGATTTGGTTCTCCCACTAACTTCTGTTATGAAGATGTTGCCCAAACTGTAAATGTAAATACTTATATTATAAAATATTGGCTCAAATGTATACTTTCATTCATTTGAAAATACTTCAATCATCAGATTTTGCCTAACATGTAAATGTTTACGTTTTCAGATGTTGCTTGAAATGGAAACATTTTCACAAGCAAGCGTGCAAAGTTTTTTTTCAGACTTGAAATTTGGCCTCGCTTGTTAGTATTTGGATCTGCCCCTGATCAGGACTAATTGTAGTTAATACTTCAAGAATGCAGAATAATTGTTGAGACACTTTTAAATCTCAATCTCCTATTCTAAAAGGTAATAAGAAGGTATAATCAGGCCGTCAAACTGTCCCGCAATTTGTGTATTTGTCACACATTGCTGAAGAAATTGAAGTCATGCCCATTTTTTGCGTTAGAGTATGTCACGCAAATACACATTTTTCGGAATTTTGTCAAGTAAAAATATTTCAGAAGAACATAAGAAAAACAAACGCAGAAAAAAACCCAGTTTGTTCGGAATTGTGAAAAATTGGAGGTGTCCAAAATTTGGAAATATGCAATTAAATTTGAACCAAGGTGTTCAGATTTGGACTAAAAAACTGGGTCTACTTCTGCATATATCAGCAAAGTGACAAGGCCCCTTAGAGGCATCTAATAAATGATTCATTTCATGAGCTAGTTTGCTAACATAAAAAATGAATAAACGAAGGACTGGCATTCCTATATATTCAACCTGGGATGGCCTCCCATATCCGACTGTAAACTTATCTAAAAAGGTTGTATCAGATCTAGAAAACTACTTTTTAAGGCAAAGCTTAATTAAATAAAAAGTACAAAAAATGACTGCCATATGTTTTTGATAAAGACACATGTTTCTAAAATCTATTTACCTTGTATATGAATTGTATATCTTGACTAAAGAAACATGTCAAAGTTACCATCACACATAAACGCATTTCTCAAAACTATGAATTGGAGGTGCATGGATCCCCAAACCTAGCATGAAGAGTGTGAAGTGAGGCTATAATTTTTGAAAGTTTCAAGGAGTAGCCTTGCAACAGTCACATATTTGCAAGAGTCCAAAATTTCCACAAATCATCTAAATTTTCCCAGGAACAACGAAGGAGCATGAAAATGTGCACTTCTTGCATTAATGTTAGAGTATAATAAAGCTCAAACCATTGTAAATTCTAAATATTTCATGTTCACCATTTTGTTTGCCGGAACTACTTCTAGACTTCCTGATTAATCCTCATACAAGTTTTGTGACTACACCAAGTGGCATGGATTATCACTTATATATTTTATCTATTACAGTATAATTATCATGATAGATAGATGATAGAGGCTTTATGAATGATAAACAATGGATACATGAATGAGGATCTGGACTAAAAAATAGTCCCAGCAAACAAAATGGTAGACATGAAATATTTAGAATTCACAATGGTTTGAGCTTTATTATACTCTAACAATGCAAAAAGTACACATTTTCATGCTCCTTCGTTGTTCTTTGGTAAGGTAAGATGATATGTGGAAATTTTGGATTCTTGCAAATGTGTGACTGTTGCGAGGCTACTTATTAAAACTTTCAAAAATAGCCTCACTTCACACTCTTCATGCTAGCTTTGGGATCCATGCACCTCCAATTCATAGTAATGAAAAATGTGTTTAAATGTGATGTTTTCTTTTATGCGTCTCTTTAGCCTGGAAATGCATTCACATACAAGGAAAACAGTATACAAAATCTTCTGACTTTATCAAAAAAAGGCTGCCATGTTTTTGTACTTTTGATTAACTTTAATGTCACCTTAAGATTATTCAGTGTCCTATTGGCTCATATCATGGTATATTTTTGATTCTATTGGGGAAATTGTATACGCCAACATGTTCACCACCCCTGTAACTGGTAGAAGTAAACAAGTTTATTTAATCTATATAAAGACACCTTGCTCCAGTAACCTTGTTTTTTATAAACCATAAGTATTGAGCATTAAAATTGCACCTACATGTAATATCCTCTCCCATTGGCTGATATATTCCTTATCAACACATAATATTTGTAATATAATTAGCCTTTCGAACAAATTAAAGCTGGACATTTTTCGATCAATGTATTAAGGGAGGCTAGTCAAGAAAACTGAACTCAACAGAGTCATATAATATAACCTCAAACAAAGAGAAGCATCAATATTCTTGTGGACTTTTAGGAATCTATTGACGAATCATATTTCATTTAAGTGACTCTCAGGTCAATCACCTAGAATCTGTAGTCTATTTCACAGGCCCTGTCTAGTACTCCTGATGATATAACTCCTATACTTCAGCATAGTGTTGAAGCATGTGCATGTGAGTAGACTATAAATAGAACTCTGTCAATGACTCCAAGCAAACATGTTTTTTATTTGATCGCTGCACTGTCCAATGTCATGTTAAAGGGACTCCTATCCAAGGTCATGTTAAAGGGACTTGTAATTAAAACATTGTGCAGAGATAATAGAATGAGACAGACAAAAATATAATAAATTAATAAAATCATTATTTCAAAAGAAGTAGTCCCACTATACTAAGACAGTAAAACCTGTCTTAGTGAACAACTCTCCCTAGTGAATACCTGTCTCTAGTGAACACCTCTCTCTAGTGAACACCCGTCTCTAGTGAACACCTCTCTCTAATGAACACCTGCCTCTAGTGAACACCTCTCTCTAGTGAACACCTCTCTCTAATGAACACCTGTCTCTAGTGAACACCTCTCTCTAGTGAACACCTGTCTCTAGTGAACACCTCTCTCTCTAGTGAACACCTCTCTCTAGTGAACACCTGTCTCTAGTGAACACCTCTCTCTAATGAACACCTCTCTCTAGTGAACACCTGTCTCTAGTGAACACCTCTCTCTCTAGTGAACACCTCTCTCTAATGAACACCTGTCTCTAGTGATCACCTCTGTCTAGTAGACACCTGTCTCTAGTGAACACCTCTCTCTCTAGTGAACACCTCTCTCTAATGAACACCTGTCTCTAGTGAACACCTCTCTGTAGTGAACACCTCTCTCTAATGAACACATGTCTCTAGTGAACACCTCTCTCTAGTAGACACCCTTCACTTATACTCTACTGACTTCTGTATAAATTACCCTCTCTGTAGTATACACTTACTAACCCTGAATGATTTTTCTCAGCAAAAGAATGTTCAATATGCA